CACTATTTCAGCCGAATGTCTGCATAATGAACTCCATTCGAAAATAATCGAAATGCGCAAAACGGAAAACAAAAAATATGACCAAAAAAAACACAACAACGTTTGATTGAAAGCCTTGAAATTGCTGCACCAGAGGCCCAGTTCTCGGCGTGGCGAGTCGTGCCTGCCTTGCATTACAAATGGGCATATAATTTGATCTGAAAATTTAATTTGTATTCTGTTTCTCATTCGAGCCAAATTACAATGCATTCAGATTTTATGTCCGAACGGTTGTTTTTTGTTTTTGCATAATGTGCAATGCGAGAGCTGTTTATTTTGCTGGCCTTAAAGTTAATATACTAGGAGAGGTCTAAAGCACTTTGAATATGATATTTCAAGAATTATTTCCTTCAAGTTCTAGAGATTACTTTTGTCACCATTTCCATTTTACGTAGAAAGTCCTAATTCGTTGAATTTATATTTCCATCCAATTGACTGGATTTGACACATCTTCACAGGTTTCTGCTGTCGCTCGATTTATATACAAAAAAAAAAAAAGGAACACACACATTATTATCGACATGGTTCGTGATTTCGTGATCCATGAAAGACGTTTTTCTTATTAAATAAAGCGCGCTAAAAGCTTTTTTCCTCTATTTTCCACTCAGTGGGGTGGATTTAGCTAAAAGTGAAAGCATGTCTTGAATGAATTTTTACGTAGATATTGGAAAAATAGTTAGAAAATCGGATGTAAGGTAGATTCGGTGGCCTTGAATCCGATAGAGAGAGAGTTTTCCCACGTATTTTCTGTCCTTGATGGTGGGACTTTCCAAAATATATATGTATATTTCTAAGCTATAACCTCGCCAATAAGTCTAAAGATTACACAAAAGTAAAACACTCGCCCATAGAACCTCGGAAAATTGTGAAAGCCAACTCTAGACGAATCAAACCATTTAGTAAGAAGTCCTAAAGGGATTGGTGGATATGCAGGGAACAAAGCCAAGCATGCTCAAACCAGCATTGGCTTGATATATATATATCTAAAAATTATATTTCCCTTGAATTCAAACAATTCGTGTGATATTTGGAAGTGCAACCAGCTGCAGGGAGTGGAGCAGCTTCGGCAGCAACAAGCAGTTTCGTAGCGGGAAAGATGAATTTCCTTTGACAGCTCTGGATTCTGACATTTCAAGCATATTTCATTAATCAAGAGTCCTTGTTGCAGGCAATGCCACACAAAAGCAAGACTTGATCGACTCGGAAATAACCTGTACAGAGCTCGCAATAAAATGCCAAAGCTGAAATACCATTGAGGTTAGCTGGCTTTTAGCCTTGCAGATGAGCGAGGTGAATTCTAAAGCTAGTCAATGCTGAGTTTGGTAAAGATATCTTGAAAATTAGAGAATTTGTATGATATATTAGTTCAATATATCTTGAAAAGAACTTATATTATATATTAGTCGAAGCTGTTTTCCACACGTGCGGATGGAATTATCCAAAAATCTCCGCCTTATCGTGAATTTACATGACTTACTTGTAAAGTAGCTACAGTAAAACTGTCATGAGCTTTGTGTCGATAGTTAATCTATATATATAGTTTGCTTTGACTGATTGATTGATTGGCGGATTATATATATGTATATAAGCTGAATTTAAGGATAGGTATGCAACATGTATTTAATGAATTCTTCCAAAGATCCTTGAAAATGAGCTTGAAGCGTATTACATCAATCAATGCTTTCCACATATTTTTCCATACCTGCGAGTGGAATTATTAAAAACCGCTTTAAGTGAATTACTTGTAAATTGCGTGCATTAAAAAGTCAGACTTCCAGCTCTTATGAATTGGGCTGTGCGTCATCAATCAATCAAGCAGTCAGTCAATCAGTCAGCTGGCCAGTCTTGTATACATATGATTTAACGCACCTTTTCTTTAAAGTTTATTATACCCTATTGCCCGATTTTGTTGTCTTTAGGGCATAATTACTCGATGGTAAGTATTCGTTCTCGAGTGACCAATCGAGTACAAGGGTATGTCGGAGTCCTTTGTCAGGCTAGCAATTGTGTCTGTGCGCGTGTGTGTGTGTGTGTGTGTGTGTGTGTGTGTGAGCGCATGTGTGTGTGTGTGTGTGCTCTGATTGGAGCCGAGTTGTATGGCTGCAATGCAAGTTAGTAAAGTATCTTGTGGATTAATTAATAATTTTTGCACACAAGCGTTTATTAAGCTGCAGCCCGACGCAAAATGCCCTTAATTGAGCAGGTGTGTGTGCATGCAAGTGTGTGTGTGGGTAGAAACGTTGCTAAGTTGCTATTTAATGAAGCTGGCATGCAATATGCATCGTTGCCGCCATTGTGATTGTTGCTGTTGATTGCTATTATTATTGTTTTGCTGCCCCTTCGATTGTCCCTAATCACACTCGGAGGCATTCTAAATATAATCTAGCGGGGGAAACACACTCGAATATTTAATGTGACATAAATGTACTGGAAACAGCATAAGGATGGTGAATGGCACTGTTTAGGGGGTGGGGCGGGAGTCGGGAGGCGGATGAGCTTTGTAAAAGTGCGAGAGCCAAGCACAAGCCAAATCCCTATTGAAACGAGCAACAGCTGCTGCTGCTTCTGCCGCTGCAGCATGTGACAACCTTTGACCGTTGTTGTTGTTGCAACTCGCTGTTCTTGGTTGTTGTTGTTGTTGTTGTTGCTGTTGTCCAAACTACAATCGAGCCAACGTTGCGGCTGCTGCTGCTGCTGTTGCAAAAAGCATTCGCTTTTTCCGCCCATCTTCCATTTTTTTTTCTTGTTGCACAATGCGGCTTGTGGCTGGTGGCGTCTCAGTTGCTTCAGCTGCTCAGTTGCCTGGGAGACTGGGCTCTGTTCTGGTCCTAGCCTTGGCAACGGACCGAGCCGGAAAAGCGTCGGGCAAGCAGCCCTGCGTGGAAACTGCAATGCCAGCCAAAGTTCAATTGCTGTAATGCTTTTGTTACCCTGTACATAAAGCGTCAAAGTGTATATTGTGCGGCCCCTGCAGCTGGGGGCGTGGCACACACACACATGTCACACTCGGACTTTTGCCGAGCTATTAGCTTGCGACCCTTTGGCATTAGAACATTGCGCAGTCGGTCATTCAGACTCCGATTTGACTTATTTGGAGCTAGTTTCTGTCAGATAATCCCTTTTTTATATCTCTCCTGCCCGCCCCATGCTTTAGTTCGGCTCATGTGCCTGCTCCTCGCCCTGTTCCATTCATTAAGACAGAATTGAATTTGTACAGCAGAAATTCTTATTAAATGTTCTTCGGTTGCCATCGTATTCCCTTTGACTCCAGATGAATAATCGGCCCCCTTTGAACGGAGAATTGTATGAAATAGTCATTTAATCGTTCCATTAACACGTTATCAGACTCCTCCAAAATGCCCATTCGTGAGGATTTCCATTAGCCTTACAGGTTATTCGGTTCGGCTTCCAATTTGAGAAAACTATAAAAAATGTAAATAATCCAAATCGAATCTATGTAAGAAATAACCAACAAAGACTCTGATTGACTCGGACCTTGGTTTTATTTTATATCAAACTATAATTAGCAGCCATCTGCAGTATCTGCCCGTCAAATAAGCAGATTTATGAGGGTAATGGTTTTTTTCTTGATAAAATATCCTGTTTTCCCAAAGCGGGTTGTATATCGATATCGATTGGGGATATTCACATTAAAACTGGAAGAATATAGGTTTTAATATTTCCCAAAAAACAGATCAAAGACGATTTGATTTTTGAATACATTTCCCCATTCTTATATCCTTATGGGATTAATATTGGGATAAATATTGATATCCATATCTTGGAAAATTCAAATAAATAAAAATTTCCCTTATCAATACCTTTCCTTTATATGTGTATGTATTAACTAAAATTCAAGGTACATGGTAAAATATCATCAAAAACGTTATATTATAAATGCTTGCATCCATTTAAATTGAACGTACAGGGCATCCCTCGGTCGTTTTGCTTGCGAAATAGAAATCCCACTTGAAAAGATCTCATTTGAAACATGGCTCAAAGGCAAATCTGCAGTTGGGATTTTCGCTTCGTTTGCATTTGAGTTAAATGGTGCGATTCTGAGAACATTTTTTGATATGCCTCACCAAGGCAGTAGCAGATATTCTCATCCTCATCCTCTCACAATCGAGTTCGTGCTCGATCTTGGACGTCGCAACAACTTTCTTGGCCGTAAGACAGCGGAAGTCCTACGCACTACGAACGGAAATGAGCCACAAGGCTGCCAAACATGGAGTCCGAAACGTATTGAAAGCACTCAAATCGAGTCCACTCACGCTCGCAGTTGCATTTCTGCTCATTTAAACGCTCAAATGCTGCTGTTGCTCGCTCTCATTGGCGCTGCGCTTGCATAGCAAGAATACGGGGAAATTTTATGTGCTCAAGCGCCAACACAGCGACACGTAGCCAAAAATATAACAGCATCAAATAGCTCAAAAGGCATCGCGTGCAGCGCTCGGCTTTGAGTTCGGGCGCCGCTCGTGCCTCGGCTCGGCGATGCTGTGCTCGTGGCTCGCGCCTGACGACGACTCCGGGCTATGGCCGCCACTGACTGAGTCATTGTGTCAACGCAGGCAACCGATGCGGACGCGACAAGCGGTACATTTCGCTCTGTCGTGCAGCAGCTGCGCGGCCACAGCCTTAGTAAGCGTCGAGTTCGCCACGTGTACGGACACGAAAAAGCACGTAGCGCGCGGCGTGTCGGAATTGCGTGCGTTTCTTTTGAGTCGTTTGAGAGAATGTCGCGTGTGCGAGACGAAATCAAAAGTGCGACAAAGTAAAATACAGTCAAAATAACTAAATATTATAAATTATTTTATTATTTTCATATTTTTTTTTATGTTTGTGTCTATGCTGTGTCATGTATTGAGAGAAATATGCAAGTGTGTGTCACTGTCGGCGACTCAATGCCGTTAGCCGGCAACTGAGTGCGCGCCAAAAAAGTGCAAATCGAATTTAAAATAGCGCACATGTTCGCCACGTCAATAAGAACAGCAACAACAAAAACAACAACAACTATTAACAACTACAACAGACAACAACAAGAAGCAGAAGGAGAGCCTCTGCAAGGCAAATACAGTTAGAAATTGGCCAAAGCAAACGGCAAAGACAAAAGCCATTTGAATACAGTGAAGCACCGTTAAAAACACCAAGTGCATGCGTGCATGTGTTTATATACATGTATGTATAACGAATATTAATTTACTTAAGTATGTTGATTTTAGTATAGAATTTTATTTCTATAAATTTAAGTTGAGATTATTTTTTGGTGATTTCCTTATTGGAATTTTGTAGTTTTCTAAGAATTTGAATATCCGATCGAACACAGAAATGTGCCTTTGAAGGAAATTTTGATATTTTTTAAACAAAATAAATTACATTTTTATTACTAATCTACTTTTGAAATACTTGTGGAAAAGGGTATTTAATCTTCGGCCCGACTACTTATGCTGCCTACTTAATAGTTATATATGTATATATTTTATGCTGAAGTTTTTGGCAGCTATTGTGACTGCACTCAAATGGAAGTCCCACACAAACACACACACACACACACACACACACACACATACGTACTTAAACAATATAAAAAGCTCTGTCGTATATACATACATGCATACGCCAATACATGCATACACACACATATTCATAAATATATGTACAACTTGAGCCACTTAGCGAATTGGCAGACATATTTTTAGCCATAGCCCAAAAGTAAAAAGCAAACGCAGCCAAAAGACGACCACAACAAGAGCAACAAAAACAGCTGAGCATAGAGAGGACAGCAGCTGAAGAGGTATAGGAAGAGGTAGAGGTAGAGGTAGAGGTAGAAGCAGCGGACGCTGCTGCCGCTGCCGCTGCCTCTGCCGCCGCCCACTGAGCATAAAAATTCATTAATAAAAACAACAGCAAAAATTAAACAGATGCCATCAACTTCTGCTGCTGCCCGCTCGCGCGTCCCTCTCACCCTCACTTCGCCGCTTAACTACACACATTCTTCTTCCTTCTTCTGCTTTTCCTGTTCCACTTCCCTTTGCAGAAAACAACAAGGCACAAGGCAGCGCAGCACAGCTGCTCTCACAAAAATTATGTTGCTGCATGTATTTGTGTGTGCGTCGGTGTGCTTGTGTACATTTGTTATTGTTATTATTTGTTTGCTTGTTGTTGTTGTTGCTGCTCATGCCAATAAGAACAGGCAACAACAAATTGCAACAACATATTGATAACGGCAACTTTGACGAAGGTTTCGTTCTGCCCAGTCTACTGCCGTTCTTCTCGCACACGCTCTATTCCCCATATTTGCCGCATTTTCTTTTCGCCGCAAACTTTGCATTATGGACGTGTACAATTTTGCGTGTTGTTGTCTCGTCTGCCGAATGTAGCTCAAGGCTAACACGCACAGCGCTGCGTCGTCTCATGTCTCATGTCGCATGTTGTTTTCATTTGCCTTTATACCCTGCAGCCGCGAAAGGGAAACATATGGCATGCGCAACGAGCACTGAATACAAAACTCCATAAGCTTCAAATTGATAAATATCCCAATATTAATCCCAGTCAGCGATCGGTTTAAAATTGAGTGGTGAAAAACTAGCTCCACAAGCAGTTCCCAAATAAGAATTGTCTCACTTTGTGTTTCTTCTTTCATCTTAATAATAATAATGGGAATAAATTCAAATCTAGCAGATTCGAATAGACAAAAATGTGATCAAGGCGAATAATCGATTCAGAAAAAAGGGATATTTATATAAAACTTCTTTAGTTTAGATTCAAATTAGATATACAAAATATAGATTTTGATTCTAATATAATATATGCTTGCATAAAGGTTATAAAAAGTTGTTAAAGCCAAGCTGAGCCTCATGCGTTTATTTAAGAGTACTCGGAATATAGTTACAGTTCGCAGCCGCCATTTTGTATTTTCGTGCTTCACCGCTAGAACTTTTTACGCTTTGAAAAACAGTTTTAGTTTTCCTCATCTTTTTTTTTTACCGATTACGCTGGTAATTTTATTGCGCTGAAGTCCAACGCAAAGCAACTTGGGCCAAAATTGGCCAGCTGAAATATTTGCAGCTATTTATGTAAATTCTTGACCTACATTGGCCAAAAACTACGCAAGAAAAGTGAACAGAAATGATAAAATCACAAAATTGGGTTGGGTTGGACATGCAGATACTTGTAATACAATGCAAATGTTTGGACAAAGGCAAACTAAAATAATAAATATCAAGTTTGCAACAAGTTTGTAAAGCAAATCAACAAGAATTTGGGCGTCAAAATTGATTACAATGCCTCAGGGCAACGACAGGGGGTCAGGGGGAAACTGCTAATAGTTGGCTCTTTAATACCCGATTGTTAACGGTAGATTAGGCCGTGTTTCATATTAAAATAGGCCAAGGGATGCACCTTAATGAGCTGCATTTCGAATGATTTAATTGAGTCCATGCTTGTGTCTAATGAACTGTTGATTTATTCGATTGCATTGTATTCGATTTTGCTTGAATCGATTGTAAATCAGTTCATACAATACGTTTTCTTTTAACCGAAATTTGAACGTCAAGTCCTTAAATTTGAACGTTATTTTCTTAAGGAGATGGCATTCCTTCGATATTTTGTATGCCGTATAGTCGGGGTGTCAAGAGATTGCTTTAAGGCAAATTTAATTATCGATAAAAATATATATATATATATACATAAGAACTCTTGTCAAGAGAGAGCCCGACTAGGGAATACCCTGGCCCTTCTTCTACCAATACCAACGGCAGGCAAATGAATGTGTTTATACTAAGTGTTAAGAGATTGATTTCTATCGATTACTTGCAAACGGGCCAAGCTATCGAATATCGGAATTCAACTCGTACTGCGCGGGCATTCAAATTTCAGTCTCATACGGGCGGACGGACAGATGTACATGGATAGATCGTCTCGGCTACTGATGCTTCCTCCTGCCTGCTACATACTTTTGCACAAAACATTATACCCTAATAAAAATTAATATTTATTATGGTATATGAACAAATTAACAAATATACGATAAATATTAAATATAGTAATGTTATTTATTATAGTACATAAACAAATATACAAATCTACAAATTAAAAGAAAAATATTATTGAATTTCCCGACCAACAACTGCCGCAAATTGAAAGAATCGTTTTCTTATTTTGCCTAACAGACAAAATACTCTTTAAAAAATGCACCTAGAAAGAGAGAGAGAAAGGGTGAGAGAGTGAGAGAGTGAGAGAGTGAGAGAGCGAGAGAGCGAGAGAGCGAGAGAGCGAGAGAGGGAGAGACAGGAGATATCGAGCGTGGTTATCAGACTTGTGACCATGCATATTCTGGCATGAGTTCGTTCTTCTTCTTATACAAATTACAATCTCTGCCCAGTTGTGCATTTGCAGAGCACATCTTCGGTTTGTTGTGCCCCAATTTTGCAATTGCCACAGATATGAAAACCGCTGCAAAGTGGCAAAGATAAAAATACGCACACACATTTCGTATCTGCTAGGTATACAGATGTAGATGTGCGCCTGTATGTGTGTGAGTGCGTGTGTGTGTGTGTGTGTAAGACAGCAATTTCATTTCATTATTACGCAAAAGCAAAATAATATGAAAAGAACCTAAAGAAAAACCAGAAGACACACAAATAAAAGAAGAAGACTCTTTTTGGCTAAAAAGTGAAAGCTTTTGAATTTTGCCCAGCCGCAGGTCCGCTCGCCCCCTCGCCGCGCTCCGCCACGCGGTTCATCTCGGCTGCTCTCAGCTCTTGATGCGTTGATTTCTTGTTCCCGTTTTTACTTATGGAAATTTCATTTTGGTTTTCCGTTTTCATGCAACGCAGCAAAAATACATGTTTTTTTTTACCGGCATTCCTTATTTTCTTCTATTTTTTTTTGGTACTTTTTGGTAAGTTTTCCACTTTTTGCTTTTCTTTCTGATTTTTTTTTTTTTTATTGTAACGAAAGCGTTTAAAAAGCCGCCAGCAACTCGAACGATAATCACCAAAAATCCAAACAGACGAGAGTGCAACTGGGTGGGGGGAGTGGTCACAAAGAAAATGAATCCTTTGTGAGCCGCAACTACCCGCCTTCATTCCCACTTCCATTCCCGTTCTCGTCTCCGTTTCCATTCTCATTTCCATAGCAATTTTCATTCTCATTCAGTTTGCAATTTGTTAAGTCGTCTGGTAAATTTATGACATTTATTGAAATCCTTTTGTGTTCGTTCATTTAAGTTGCACCACTTCTGGCCCGCCGTTGCAGTACCCTTCGCCCTCTCCGGCACGCCCACCAACCACCTCGGCAGCGGCTCATTGAAGCATTTCGACGTAGTCGCAATTAGTTTTATATGCCGCGGCAATTTCTCTGCACTTTTGCGCAATGCCTCAAACAGCTTTTGGCCACACAAAACCGCAAACGAAGGAACCTGTTGAACATATGAAAGGAACTTGCCTCCACTTTGTCTCTTGCCATGCGAGAACTGCTCTCAAAGATCTTTGTCCTGCTCAAAGACACATTATTTTGATTGCAAAATCAAATCAAACAATATTTTTAATATTTGGCACCTGTAAGGCTTAATTTTTTTAGCAAGAAAATCAGAAAAATGTTCCCTTCGACTCTAGACGCAACATAAATTATATATTGTGTTTTGTATGATAATGACAATAAAAATGATGATGACAATAAAAATGATGATGACAATAAAAATGAAAATGACAATATAAATGATAATGACAATAAAAATGATAATGATAACGATAATGATAATGATAATGATAATGATAATGATAATGATAATGATAATGATAATGATAATGATAATGATAATGATAATGATAATGATAATGATAATGATAATGATAATGATAATGATAATGATAACGATAATGATAATGATAATGATAATGATAATGATAATGATAATGATAATGATAAGATATGATAATGATAATGATAATGATAATGATAATAATAATGATAATGATAATGATAATGATAATGATAATGATAATGATAATGATAATGATAATGATAATGATAATGATAATGATAATGATAATGATAATGATAATGATAATGATAATGATAATGATAATGATAATGATAATGATAATGATAATGATAATGATAATGATAATGATAATGATAATGATAATGATAATGATAATGATAATGATAATGAT